ATATTTTAAATCTGATTCTGGTTTTTGATCAATACCTATTAGGGCAGGAATCACGCTGTAGTAAAACCGTACAGATTTTCCCAACAGGTCTGCTGGAACCTGAGGTAACACCTTCTCCACCAAATGCGACTTTATCGTCAAGCACCCACCACAGGGGGGTAAATGGCTCCCTAAGCTAATATCAGCAAAGGGGAGTGAATAAATTCAGATCCGAAGCTAAATGCTAAATTCGCTGACAAGTGAGAACCCAGACGAAAATATCTGAGCAGTATCAGATTAAGAATAAAAACGGGGACTCGGTCCAACCGGGGAAGTAATAGCACAGTACTTGCGGCGTGTTTGTTTTATAAAAAACAGCTAAATTAGTTGCAGAGGTGTTCGGACAGTCAGGAATTTATTAATATTTCATGACAGGTGCAAAAATGCTTGCGTGGATCACTAACTTCCCTAGCATCCTAACAAATAGAAAACAAAAGAGCCCTTTACCTTTAGCTCCTGAACAGAAATAGTAAGGGGTGACCTTCCGCGTGGAGGAGGAAGCGAATGCTGCACAGTTTTTTGTTTCTGTCTTTCGATCAGCTGTTTGGATAAAAATTCAAATACGTCGCACTGAGTAGATTTTGGGATTTTGCAACCTCGTGGAGTCCCATCAAGAGGCCCGGGATAATACGTTATAAGATCATAATAGGAGGGTGTAATCGGTTTATTCAACGAGGAATAGTGTAACTGAAAAGTAAGGGCAGCTTCAGAACCCCGTGGAGAGGTGGTGCTTTGCTACACCGGGACTATTTTGTTGATAAAAACTGCGTATGAAATCGTGCCTAGTGCAGGTGTGACTGAATAGTGTAATCGTTTACGGTAGATTAAACTTGAAGACTACAACCAGTGACAAAATTCACGAAATACGCTTAAAGTAACGAAAAATGGCTAAAACCTCTAAAACCAAGGTAAGGGTAGCCTCCAAACGCCTTATTAATGACGAATGCCTTCCAGTTGAAGGAAACCACAACATAAGTATTTGAAGTACTTTATTGTTTATAAGAAATAAAGAATGGTATTGATAACGTATGACCACCCAGATAGGTCATGAGAACGGAAACCACCCGTGATTCAAGTGTCTTTGGACCAATTTCCAAGGAAAATAATGTACGAGATATCGTGAGCATAGGTGGCCAAGTTTGGAATTAGGTTTAAGAGTAAGCCTAAGGTTAGTATTAGGGTACATAGGAGCTACATTTAGGGTAAAGTTAACTGTGGAGTAAGGGTCAAGATAAGGATTTGGGTTTCAGTTTATACTTAGGCATGGGAACATTTATCCTTGCTGGGATTATGCGCATTTATTATTTGGACGGAGCGTCCCTATGTTCCTATCCTTCTTAAAGGGCTACTTAAGTAATCCCCACCTTTGGAAAAATGGAAATGCGAAAATTCGTCTCCATGCGAATACCTGACTCAATACAATGACGTAAGCAAGAGATCTTTTTAAATGTTCGTCTACATACATTTTTCCTGGACAGTCATCTAACAATTAGTGTTATATGAATAATGGCGCCGACGTCAAGTGCGTAGTGCGAGCCATCTGTTTTTTGATAACGTTACGGGACACGGGAATAATTTTTCCATTTATGTTTTGTTAGAGATTTGGTTAATTAAGGCAAAGAGGAAATCTCTACTAGTTCCGTAAGAAGAACAAGTCTAATTTCGTTATTCCTGAATTGTGCTTTCTTACAAACGGCAAGGCTGCGCGTTTCTGGAACAAACAACCGAAAATAACGGAGGCCAGAGGATTGCTAACATGAAGCTGTTCTCTTTCCTACACCGATGACCAATAAAAGCGAATATTTACATAAACTTTGAAGGACTAGATGAGCAAAACGGGTGTCCGACCGAAAGTAGACAATCTATCACCATTGTATGCTTATCAAACGGTGGATGAAGTTACTGCAGCTAAAAGGTAGGAAGACTTCCTTTTAAAAAATAGTATAGTCGTCCTTACCTCAAATAAATATTGCAATTGACTAAAAATAGATCTGTGTACCGACACAAAATATTTACCTACCCTCATCATCATATTCTTAAAGTGCACTTATTTCGAATAAAATTAAAATTATTATTTAATGTGATAAAAATAGTCTGCTTAAAATAATTAAAATCTTGCTAGGGAAAATCATAATTTCAAGCAATTAAAAATATTTATTAGGTAATACATTTGACAATATAGGGAAAAAATACTACGAGTGTTTAGTCCAAGAGCAGTGCAGAAATTCGTCGGACCAAAAACACAAAGCACAGTACAGGGAAAAATATGCTGAGTAACAGAAACTCCTTTGCAATGTAAAGAATCTTTGTACATTATGGTAGAG